GCAGTTTTCATCCTGGTCGTGGAACACTGGATCAGCTCTACACTCTCAGCAGGGTCCTGGAGGGTGCGTGGGAGTTTGCCCAACTGGTCTACATGTGCTTTGTGGACTTGGAGAAGGCGTCCGACCACGTCCCTCGGGGAGCCCTGCGGGGGGTACTCCGGGAGTACGGGGTACCAGGCCATTTGATACGGGCTGTTAGGTCCCTGTATGACCGGTGTCAGAGCCTGGTCCACATTGCCGGCAGTAAGTCGAGCTTGTTCCTGGTGAGAATTGGACTCCGCCATGGTTGCCCTTTGTCACCGATTCTGTTCATAACTTTTATGGAAAGAATTTCAATGGCTGAGGGGGGGCTCTGGACTATGCTAGGTCTTTTCCTTAAAAATTCAATGTCTTCACCGCCTATATGTGTATAACGTCTGTTTATGTTGCTTTGCTGTGGTAGGTTTTTTTGATGCCTCAAATTGTGCCCCGTCTAGGACACGGTGTGAGAGATCTTTTTTTTATACCGTCTCTCCTCATGTTTTCTTTCCTTTTCTTATCTAAGCAAAACATTATTCTGAATAAGAATAAGAAGGCTGCGCTGATTATTTTTAGCCGCAGCTTTGTGCACTCCGCCCATCTTCGGACGACTGTACATACATATTCGCGTTGTATCTCGGTGCAATGCCAATAAAGTTTATTCTGATTCTGATTCTAGGCACAGACAAGGTGTTGAGGGGATCCGTTTTGGTGGCCTTAGGATTGCGTCTCTGCTTTTTGCAGATGATGTGGTCTTATTGGCTTCATCAGATCGTGATCTACAGCTTTCGCTGGAGCAGTTCGCAGCCGAGTGCGACATGGCCGGGATGAAGATCAGTTCCTTCAAATCTGAGGTCATGGTCTTGAGCTGGAAAAGGGTAGAGTGCCCTCTCCGGGTCAGGGAGGAGGTCCTGCCCCAAGTGGAGGAGTTCAAGTATCTTGGGGTCCTGTTCACGAATGAGGGAAAAATGGAGCGCGAGATCGATAGGCAGATAGGTGCAGCGTCTGCAGTGAAGCGGGCGCTGTACCGGTCTGTCATGGTGAAGAGAGAGCTGAGTCAAAAGGCGAAGTTCTCAATTTACTGATCAATCTACGTTCCTACCCTCATCTATGGTCATGAGCTTTGGGTTGTGACAGAAAGAACGAGATCTCGGATACAAGCGGCTGAAATGAGTTTTCGCCGCAGGGTGTCTGGGCTCTCCCTTAGAGATAGGATGAGAAGCTCGATCATCTGGGAGGGACTCAGAGTAGAGCCACTGCTTCTCCACATAGAGAGGAGCCAGTTGAGGTGGCTCGGGCATCTGGTTAGGATGACTCCTGGACGCTTCCCTGGTGAGGTGTTTCGGACACGTCCCACCAGGAGGAGGCCCAGAGGAAGACCCAGGACACGCTGGAGGGACTATGTTTCTTGGCTGGCCTGGGTTCGCCTCGTAATTCCCCCGGAGGAGCTGAACCAAGTGGCTGGGGAGTGGGGTCTGGGCTTCCCTACTTAGGCTGCTACCCCGGCGACCCGACCCCGGATAAGAGGAAGAAAATAGATGGATGGATGATGTGGTCAATTGTGTCGAAGGCCTTTTTTAAATCAACAAAAACACAATACTGTTTTGATCAACAGCAGTTATCTCTTCTATTAAATCCAGGAGAGCCACTGATGTTGAATTATTTGCTCTAGTCTAAACCCATCTTGACTATTAATAAAAATATTCTGATTATCTATAAATCGATCTAATCTGGTTACAAATAATTTCTCTAATATTTTTGAAAATTGTGTCAACAAAGATATTAGTCTGTAATTACAGGTCCTTCTCAAAAAATTAGCATATTGTGATAAAGGTCATTATTTTCCATAATGTAATGATAAAAATGAAACTTTCATTTATTTCAGATTCATTGCACACCAACTGAAATATTTCAGGTCTTTAATTGTTTTAATACTGATGATTATGGCATACAGCTCATGAAAACCCAAAATGCCTGTCCCAAAAAATTAGCATATCATGAAAAGGTTCTCTAAACAAACTATTAACCTAACCATCTGAATCAACGACGTAACTCTAAACACCTGCAAAAGATTCCTGAGGCTTTTAAAAACTCCCAGCCTTGTTCATTACTCAAAACTGCAATCATGGGTAAGACTGCCGACCTGACTGCTGTCCAGAAGGCCATCATTGACACCCTCAAGCAAGAGGGTAAGACA